TGCTAGTTGTTTGGCATAGGGTGTCCAGCACTGTAGCTTGCTGGTCGTTGAATGAAGCTGGGTGCTGGTGCTGCGATGGAGACCTCTGGGAGATTTTTGCAGTTTGATATAATGTGGAGCTGGGTGGTCTCTTGTGGACCAGTGTCCTCTGAAGTTGGCCCTCCCACCTTAAAGGCACAGCACTGACTCCTGGCTGCAGCACCAAGAGCCTTTCATCCATACGGCCCAGAATAAAAGGGCGAAAAAGTAGAAAGAAAGAATGAAAGAAAGAAAGAGAGAGAGAGAAAGAGAGAGAGAGTGAAAGAAAGAAAGAAAGGGAAAGAAAGAAGGGATCTAGGGAGGGAGGGACGAAGGAAGAAAGGAAGGAGGGAAGGAAAGAAAGAAAGAAAGAAAGAAAGAAGATAAAATAAAATAAGGCAAAATAAAATAAAGTTATTAAAATAAAAAATAATTAAGAAAAAAAAATTTTAAGTAAGAGAAAAAAAAAAATGGACGGATAGAACCCTAGGACAAATGGTGGAAGCAAAGCTATACAGACAAAATTTCACACAGAAGCATACATATCCACACTCACAAAAAGAGGCAAAGGGGAAAAAATCATAAATCTTGTTCTCATAATCCACCTACTCAATTTTGGATGATTCGTTGTCTATTCATGTATTCCACAGATGCAGGGTACATCAAGTTGATAGTGGAGCTTTAATCCCCTGCTTCTGAGGCTGCTGGGAGAGATTTCCCTTTCTCTTTGTTCTCACAGCTCCCAGGGGCTCAGCTTTGGATTTTGCCCTCCTCTGCGTGTGGGTCGCCGGAGGGCGTCTGTTCTTTGCTTAGACAGGACGGGGGTTAAAGGAGCAGCTGCTTCGGGGACTCTGGCTCACTCACGCCCTGGGGAGGGAGGGGTACGGAGTGCAGGGTGAGCCTGCGGCGGCAGAGGCCAGTGTGACGTTGCACCAGCCTGAGGCGCGCCATGCGTTCTCACGGGGAAGTTGTCCCTGGATCCCAGGGTCCTGGCAGTGGCGGGCTGCACAGGCGCCCTGGAAGGGGTGTGTGGATAGTGACCTGTGCTCGCACAAAGGCTTCTTGGTGGCGGCAGCAGCAGCCTTAGCGTCTCATGCCCGTCTCTGTGGTACGTGCTGTTAGACGCGGCTCGCGCCCATCTCTGGAGCTCCTTTAAGCAGCGCTCTTAATCCCCTCTCCTTGTGCACCAGGAAGCAAAGAGGGAAGAAAAAGTCTCTTGCCTCTTCGGCAGGTCCAGACTTTTTCCTAGACTTCCTCCCGGCTAGCCGAGGTGCACTAACCCCCTGCAGGCTGTGTTCACGCCGCCAACCCCAGCCCTCTTCCTGAGCTCAGACGGAAGCCCGAGCCTCAGCTCCCAGCCCCGCCTGCCCCGGCGCGTGAGCAGACAGGCCTCTCAGGCTGGTGAGTGCCGGTCGGCACTGATCCTCTCTGCGGGAATGTTTCCGCTTTGCCCTCCGCACCCCTGTTGCTGTGCTCTCTTCCGCGGTTCTGAAGCTTTCCCCCTCCGCTACCCACAGTCTCCTCCCTCGAAGGGGCTTCCTAGTGTGTGGAAACCTTTCCTCCTTCACAGCTCCCTCCCACTGGTGCAGGTCCCGTCCCTATCCTTTTGTCTCTGTTTATTCTTTTTTCTTTTGCCCTACCCAGGTACGTCGGGCTTTTCTTGCATTTTGGGAGGACTGAGGTCTTCTGCCAGCATTCAGTACGTGTTCTGTAGGATTTGTTCCACGTGTAGATGTATTTCTGGTGTATCTGTGGGGAGGAAGGTGATCTCCTCATCTTACTCTTCCACCATATTCCCCTTGTCCCCCCTTCTGCCATTTTTCAGGCAACTTCATAATTCCATCTTCCCAAAACTTTTTATCTGTTTGAGCGAAGAATTCTTCCAGGTGCCTTTTACAGTCTTCCGGGGAATGGAAATTTTTTCCATTAAGAGAATTTTGTAAAGACCGAAATAAATGGAAATCCGAAGGTGCAATGTCTGGTGAATATGGCAGATGAATCAGAACTTCCCAGCCAAGCTGTAACAGTTTTTTCCTGGTCATCAAAAAACATGCCGTCTTGCGTTATCCTGATGGAAGATTATGCGTTTTCTGTTGACTAATTCCACACACTTTTTGTCGAGTGCTGCTTTCATTTGGTCTAATTGGGAGCAGTACTTGTTGGAATTAATCATTTGGTTTTCCAGAAGGAGCTCATAATAGAGGACTCCCTTCGAATCCTACCATATACATAACATCACCTTCTTTGGATGAAGACCAGCCTTAGGTGTGGTTGGTGGTGGTTCATTTCACTTGGCCCACGATCTCTTCCGTTCCGTATTATTGTGCAGTATCCACTTTTCATCTCCCGTCACTTTTTTTTAAATTTTCTTTATTTATTTTCTTTGTTTTTTTAGCTGCGTTGTGTCTTCGTTGCTGCGGACAGGCTTTCTCTAGTTGCGGAGAGTGGGGTCTACTCTTTGTTGCGGTTCACGGGCTTCTCATTGTAGTGGCTTCTCTTGTTGCAGAGCACAAGCTCTAGCCGCACAGGCTTCAGTAGTTGTGGCATGCGGGCTCAGTAATTGTGGCTCGCGGGCTCTAGAGCGCAGGCTCAGTAGCTGTGATGCACGGGTATCGTTGCTCCATGGCATGTGGGATCTTCCTGGACCAGGGCTCGAACCCGTATCCCCTGCATTGGCAGGTGGATTCTTAACCACTGCGCCACCAGGGAAGCCCCACACTTTGTTTTAAAAACAGAACGTTTTCATTACGTTTCAGTAGGGAATCACATGAGGAAATATGGTTTAGAAGGGTTTTTTGCCTAACTTATGTGGAACCCAAACATCAAAGCAATTCACATAACCAAGCTGGTGCAAATGATTTTCAACGCTTGATTTGGATATTTTGAGTATGTCGGCTGTCTCCCGTGTGGTATGATGTTGATTGTTCTCAATGAATATCTCTATTTGCTGGCTATCAACTTCAACTGGTCTACCCAACTGTGGAGCATTGTCCAGCAAGAAATCTCCATCATGAAACTTCACAAACCACTTTTGACACATTTGATCAGTCACAACACCTTCTCCATACACTACACAATTCTTTTTTTTGCGTTTTCAGTTATCTTTTTACCTTTCTTGAAATAATAAAGCATAATATGTGGAAAATGTTGCATTTTTTCTTCCATCTTCAATATTCAAATGGATACACAAAAATTCTCCAGTTTTGGTAAGTCTTTTTTTTAATGCGGGCTGATATGACACCTGTCACATACAATCTAAGAAAACTGTTTCCAATGCAGTTAAAGACAACTAAGTGCTACTAGAGACATCTTACAGAAATACTGATCGAACCTTTTGGCCAACCGAATAGAATGCCCTGCGATTTGAGTGTGTTTGAAGTTTCCGTTTTTTCCCCACATTCAGATCATGCATTTTTGTCAGGAATACCATGCAAACAATGTTGTAACCTTTGTGCATTGTATCATATTAGGAGCCTTGTAATGTCAGTTTGTCCCAATATTTCTGAGGTTACATTTGATTACTTGGTTAAGGTGGAGGCTGCCAAGTTCTTCTACTGTAAAGTTACCATGTTTTGCTTTTGTAATGAATGAATGATTTGTGGGGAGATATTTTGAAACTATGTAGATATCTTGTTCCTCATCCAACTTTCACCCACTAGTTTTATCATCCATTGTGATTTTCTAACTTTGTCATTCCTTATATTTATTTGGCTTTGTATTGTAAGAGCTTTCTTTTGTTTGTATCAGTATGAACTCTTGGATTATTTTATTTTATTAAATGCATTATATTCTGTTACTCATTATTTATTTTCCTGCCCAATTTTTTCATATTTGGGTATAGGGAACCCCTTCAGGGTGGGTGAAGTGTGCTTTTGATATGTTCCCATCGTTCTTTGAGCAGTTCTTTACTTTGGGGGGGTAGCAAGATGATCCAGGCTCATCTTATATTTTCCTTGCCCCAGTGCTGGAATCAGCCATTTCTCCAAGGAACCTTTATCCCTTTTAGTTTAGAAACCAAGATATGAGATAAGGTATATGTGTTTTTTAAAGAGACTCCAAGGTGATTTTGCTGGTCTTTCTGGAACCCATTGTAATAGAGCCTTCTTGTATACAGGAGTTCCATTCAGATATTTGCTAACTGGACAGGACTAAGGAGTAGTTGAAATAGTCCAGGGAGATGAAGGAATATAAGTAGAGTCACTGTATATGAAAAAGCCCAACTCATTCAGAGGAGCTAGAGTTCAGTGTGGCTTCAAGAAGAGAAGAGCTAGAGAATGAGGCAGGGACCAGTTCATTGAGGACTTTATTTGCCATCCAAAGGAACTTAACCTTATAGAAGATGAGGGGCCATCATAGAGGGTTTAAACTAGGTAGGTAAGTGATTGATTTTGGTAGATTTTCATTTTAAAGTCACTGTACTGTCACCAGCGGCAATGCATAGGATGGATTAGATAAATGTTTAACATTATTTTCCAGCAGGGTTGGCGTTTGCCTTTATAAACTTTTCTCCTAGATGCCAGTATTGCAGCTGCTGGATACTAACATCTCAAAGGAATTGTTGGCAGTAGTTTAGTGAAAAGGGAACGAGAGAGAGAGACCATACAATACGTTAAAGCTTGAATCATTGATTTATCTGTTTCTGGAATGGCAGCAACTCTTCCTTTTATTAGTAGTTTTACAGTCAGGACTGGAAGCCATTGAAAAATAACACAAACAAAAGTATAAAATAAATGCTGTCTTTTTTTAATGAAAAAGTCTTGATGAATATCAATACTGCTACATTTTATTTTTCTTTATGTTTGGTAGTAACATCAATAATAGGATTGATATAGACATTCAGTAATGTAGACATTTTACCTGGTTTGTGTGGTAACCAAAGTATGAAATGTAACAAACACATTTTATGCAATAATAGCAAATTGCACCTTCAGCTTAAAGTTTTTCTGTTATTATAATAAGTTTTATTTCTGTGCTATTTACAGCCTGTATCCCAAGCAGTTGGAGCTGAACAAACAGCAACTCTTCTAAAACCGGATTTAGTTCGAAGGTGAGTATCTTCAAATTAATACCATGAAAGCAATGAGGGTATGTTGAAGTACTGCATTCATTAGGTGCTTAGTGTGTCTTGACTGAAGAAGTTTCTGTGTTCTAGTATTTGTGTGTATGTTCAATAAAAATAGTAGATATTATTTTTACTTTTTATGTTAATAAATATCATATGGACTATGAAATTATTGACCATTTTCTTGTTCACATTATTATAATATTCTGGGGTGGTTTTCTTTTTGGCTGCACCTCCATGGCTTGTGGGATCTTAGTTCCCTGACCAGGGATTGAACCCATGCCCTTGGCAGTGAGAGTACAGAGTCCTAACCACTGGTCTGCCAGGGAATTCCCATCATATTCTGTTCTTAGGAAAATGTTATAAGAATTTAAAAAGGAAATAAGAAATAATGTAATTTAAAGTTCCAGCTAATCTAAAGAAATAAATTACAACCAGATATATAATTATATTGTTATTTGGTAGTTGTAAACTAATATTTTTCTCTATCTTGTTCAGATTGGGTTAATTTCTCTTGTTCTGTCTTCAGGTTCACTGATTCTTTCCTTTGTCCTATTCATTCTGCTATTGTGCCCACTCAGTGCATTTTTTATTTCTATGATTGTACTCTTTCTATAATTTCCATTTGTTTCTTTCTTAATATCTTCTATTATTATGAGATTTTCTGGCTTTTCATTTGCTTCAAAAGTATTTGTAATTGCTCGTTGAAACAATTTGATAATGGCTGCTTTAAAATCCTTGCCAGGTAATTCCAATATCTGATTCATCCTGGTGTTGGCATCTGTTGATTGTCTTTTCACATTCAAGTTGTGATTTTCCTGGTTTTTCGTATGACAGAGAATTTTCATTTGTCTCCTGGACATTTTGGACATTATATTAGGATACTCTGGATCCTATTTAAATACTCTATTTTAGTAGTCAGTCACTGTGTTTAGGTGCAAAGGTCCTGGTCTACTTTTGTGGACTATGGTTCTAATGACAATTTAGTTTTCAGAGTCTTTGTATTATTATTCTGATCTGCTTGGTTCACCTGACACCATTGGGACCCACTGCTGGACCAAGGGGTTGGAGAGCACTTCTCTAGGCCCGCTGCCCTAAGCCAGCTCTCCAGACCACATGCTACTGGTAGGGTTCCCACCAGCATCACCAAGGGAGGAAAGAGCCCACCTGAATCACCTTCTGTTGCTAGGTTGGGGTTCAGGAGACCACTGGGCTTAGGCTACCTTTGCCTTTTGGCCCAGGAGTCAGGAGATGCCAAGCTGCTATATTTTTCCTCAAGTCCTGGGAGTCCCTAGCTAGTCTGTCTTCATCTTTTCACTCTTCAGTGCCCTCCTGTGATAGTCTACTGTATTATTTCCAGATTTTTTAGTTATACTTAGTGGGGAGGAATGGGGAGAGTTGAGTTTCTGCCATCTTGTCCCAAACCCTAAACTAGTGTTTTAAGATAACTTTGCAAAGTGAATGATACAGCTGCATTGACTAGAATTATGTCCCTTTTCTCCTCTGAAGGTGTTATTTATTACTGCTATTTCTCTGTCTATTAAAAAACTAAGAGCAGTATTAATGTATTTTCTTCCTCCACTTGTATTTATGAAAATTCTTTTTCACAGGGACATAGAAAAAGTTTTAGGAGTTCGTTTTATTTTTTCTTGTATATCTTTATATAGATACTTCCTGAGTAGTTTTTAGGAGAAAGGACTTAACCTAAAAATTAATTTAAAAAATATCTGCTGCTTACAGATCTCATTTAAGTTTCAAATGTATTTATTGGAATTTTTGTTATTTATTGAAATATCTTCAAATTTATTAAAGAAAAAGCTGAAAAATACCTTTGACACAGATCAGCTGAAAGTTAGTCTGCCCTGTCATAATCATATTGGCTTGAACCTGCAAAATATAACTAGTTAGAATTAATCATGTTGAATCATTTTCACATCATTCATTTTCAGTTTTTTTTAACCAAAATTATGGTGTATTTTTCTTCTTCCCTCCCTCCCTCCCTCCCTCCCTCCTTCCCTCTTCCTTCCTTCCTTTCATTCTATTGAGGTAAAACTCATGTATACCCTTATATTAGTTTTGGATATACAGTAGAGTGGTTCACCATTTGTATATATTATGAAATGATCACCACAGTAAGTCTAGTTTAAACATCCATCACCATACATAGTTACAAAATTTTTTTTCTTGTGATGAGAACTTTAAAATCTACTCTCAGCAACTTTGAAATATGCAATACAGCATTATTAACTATAGTTGCCATGCTGTACATTACATGACTTATTTATTTTATAACTGGTAGTTTGTACCTTTCGACTCCCTTCACCCATTTCACCCACTCTCCACCCCCTCCCCCCACCCCTGCCTCTGGCAACCACCAATCTGTTCTCTGTATCTGTGAACTTGGGAGATTTTTCGTTTTTTTAGATTGCACATATAAGTGAGATCATATGGTATTTGTCTTTCTCTTTCTGACTTACTTTACTTAGCATAATGCCCTCAAGTTCCATCTATGTTGTTACAAATGGCAAGATTTCATTCTTTTTTATGGCAGAATAATATTCCATTGTATATACATACTACATTTTCTTTATCTCATTTTCATTTCTTTTTCTGTTTCTTGCACTATTCCTGTCTTCCACACCTCATGTATCCCCTGTTGAGTTTGTTACATAAACAGCTATATTTTGAGTGAGAATTGGTTTTTAGAAGTTTTATTTGAACATATTAACAAGAAAAACCCCAAAACAAACAAAATAAAATTGATCAGGAACATCCCCTGATAAAAGGTTCCATAGAGGTCCATCACTAGCAGTGTTTTTCTTTCACTCCCACTACTGTGAGATGTTGGCCTAATACATACAATATAATCTCAGTGTTTCATAACTTTTAAAAACAGCTTTATTGAGATATAATCACATACCATTAGATTTTCACCCATTTAAAGTGTACAATTCAATGGCATTTAGTATATTTGCAGAGTTGTGCAGTCATAACTTTTTGAGAGATATTGTACTACTTATATATTTTATTTAAACATTATTTATGATTTTATAATTGAGGGTTTTTCTTAGAATTTTACCATCAAGATGGAATGATTCTATCCACAAAGGAATTTCAGATGTTAACTCTGATTTTGGTTAAATATTGGACTTTGAGAATCATTTCTTCTCTGAGAAATTGAATTGGAGTTGCTTTTGTTTTTTTTTTTAAATAATAGTTTGAATAATGATGTGGCAGCTGTGAAGGAAAACACCAATACCCCTGATAACCCAAGTGGAAATGGCAAACAAGATCGGATAAAACAGAGAAGAGCTTCCTGTCCTCGATCAGAGAAGGGGACTAAATTTCAGCTTACTGTCCTTCAGGTCAGTGTATAAATATTATTTGGTTAAGAGTGCATGTTGAGGTCTGGGGGGTCAGGGAGGGGAGATGTTGCTGTGGAGGTGAGTATTATGTAACTCTGCAGCAAACACTCTTGAACACAAATCTTTGTATATATACCTGATTATTTCCTTATGATAGATTCCTAGAAGTAGAATTAGTGGGTCAAAGGGTATGAAGATTTTTTTAAAGTTTCTAAATACGTATTTCTAGGTTGCTGTTCATAAAGTTTGGACCAGTTTACATTTCCATTAACAGTGCATTTTCTTTAGCTTAAAGGGTCAATTTGTGGGAGAATTTTGGAAATGAATGACCAGATTTAGATCTTTGCATTGCAGGTAGCTATAGTGACCATTGTAACTTTTTTTTTTTTTGCCTTTTCATAAAAGTTGTGTTCCTTTTCTTTCCCACAGGTTCACATTTCTAACTTATTTTTTGCTGAATAATTTGAGCCTTAGATTTGTCATACAATAGTTGTTTAGACAGTATTTCATCAAGGGAAAAACAGAATCTTTTTAGATTCTGAACAGTTTAAACCATTTTTTTATATATCGTATGTGAGCTCATCCAAATGTTTCCTGCACCATTTACAAAGAGAAGACAATGACTGACTCTTAAACTAGTGACATGTTTGTGCCTAGGTGTCAATCTCTGGAGACAACATGGTGGAGTGTCAACTGGAGACACACAATAACAAGATGGTCACCTTCAAGTTTGATGTTGATGGTGATGCACCAGAGGATATTGCAGACTATATGGTAAGTACGGTAAAACCAAATTATTTTCTCTTCAGTATTCTGTCTCTTTTTCCTCTCTAACTCTTCCCCCGTTTATTCAGAGCCATCTTTTTTTAGGGTACTGTTAGTTTTTAAAATTTGTACAGAGCTAAATTGGTTATGATCAAGAGTAAGTCACTATACCTCCTCTGCTTTCTGTATATTTATGTGTAAAATATGAGGGAGTTTCATTAAGAGAGGATCTAGGTCAGTACTTCGTATCCCTAGCTGCATGTCAAAATCACTGGAAGAGCTTTTTAACAACAATTCTGTTGGGAATACCCTGGTGGTCCAGTGGTTAGGACTCGGTGCTTTCACTGCCGTTGTCTGCGTTCAATTCCTGGTCAGGGAACTAAGATCCTGCAAGCCACGTGGTGCAGCCAAAAAAAAAAAAAACCCAAACAAAAACTAAAACAAAAACAATTCTGTTGCCTGGGTCCCTAATTAAATCAGAATTTTTGGAGATGAGGCCTAAGCATTAATAGTTTGTAAAGTTCCCCAGGTAATTCTAATGTAATAGCTACTGATATAACATCTTACATATAGGTGTTCAAGTAATGTTCATCATTTCATTTAGTTTTTGTATTTTCTTTGAATTGTTAGGCTTAAGTTAGTATTCCCCTCCTCTTTTTTCTTAATGGGGATGATCTAGGGTGGCACGAAGAGTACATAATGCTTTTGTTTCTGCCAGTTTTCTTTGTATATACATTCCTGGCCAAGCAGAATTTAACATTTTAAAAGTTAATAATTTTATCAGTCTGCCTCTTATTCAGTGTAGTATTTTCTGAACTGTCTCTAGGCCATTCTTTATCATCTTTAGAGATGCTTCATTTTGTGATTTTTTTTTTATTTAAAATCTTTTGCGTTTGGACATCCTAGTTTTTTTTTTTTGTTTTTTTTTTTTGCGGTACGCGGGCCTCTCACTGTTGTGGCCTCTCCCGTTGCGGAGCACAGGCTCCGGACGCACAGGCTCAGTGGCCATGGCTCACGGGCCCAGCTGCTCTGCGACATGTGTGATCTTCCCGGACCGGGGCACGAACCTGTGTCCCCTGCATCGGCAGGCAGACTCTCAACCACTGCACCACCAGGGAAGCCCCATCCTAGTTTTAAACGTAAACATTACCTCAGTTATGTTCTTCAAATGGCAATCAATTTATAGAATGCCAGATTTTTTTAAATGCTGGCTTCTGGTAGGTAGTGCCAATCTGACAAATATCAATGGTCTCAAAATAGAATAATGTATTATGTGGCATTTTATTGCTGGTCTTTGTTAATTCTGTTGTGGCATTTAGATCTAAATACCTAATTTAGTTTTCTTTATGGTAGTCACCATATTATAATTTTGAAGAAACTAAATTCATTCTTGTGAATAGACTTACTTTTACTTTTGGATAGGTTGAAGATAACTTTGTCCTGGAAAGTGAAAAAGAAAAATTTGTAGAAGAATTGAGGGCTATCGTAGGTCAAGCCCAGGAGTTCCTTCATGTCCACTCTGCTGCAGAAAGAGCCATTGGAGTTGACTCTATTACTATGGAATCCAGCAGTAGCCAAGTAAGAGCAATTGCTTAACAAATAGGTCTTCTCGGATATGTATCAGGAACTTCTTTATTTATCTATTCATTTTTAATTCAGACAGGATCATCTGAACAAGTACAGATAAATTCTGCATCCACTCAAACCAGCAGTAAGTATACTTAATAAAATTTACCATTTGGCTTTTGAAGCAAGACATTTGGAAACTTTTAATGTACACACCTTGGGAAAGATGTTAGCCAGTAAAGGAATTTAATAAATTGTTAATGTGGGTTTTCCCACACTTTGAAAGGACTTTATAGCCCAGAAATAAGAAGTAAAAAAAGTGAGAAGTAAAACCATTCTCCAAATTTCCTCCAAGTATTGGTTCTTTACCTGATTAATTTATTTCTGAGTTGTTGCATGGTATGTTACCAGAAAAGCAGTCACAGTAGTGCTGACCTTTAATGGCTTTATTGTTTGAACTTAACTGGTAAGTTTTTTTTTCCCCCATATTAGATGGACAACAACTCTCTTAACTAAAATCATTATGTTCTAAGTTTGCCTCATGTTTTAATAGCATTAGTATCTTGATTTCATTCTACCAATGATATGCTTCTACCTGCTCTGATCACTGATAAGTTTTTGTAAATCAGATACCAGATAAACTGCTAGGGACTAAAAATGGGGTCTTCTATTTTCTTTTCTCATAACTTTATCTCTCCATTCTTCTCAGCTCTGGTCATGGGTATATTTAGAGTGTCTGGGAGGGGGAGGAGAGCCACAGACAAATGAGGACATCTGAAGGAATTATAACAGCATGAAGAAGCAACAGGTTGTGTGGGAGTCATGGAACCAGATACCATTACCCTCAAATGTAGTTTGTGTTAGGATGCCAGTGTTCTCCTCTGTCTTCTTTTTCTCATTAGCAGGAGTCTGAGTAGATTTCTTTTTATTTATTTATTTATGGCTGTGTTGGGTCTTCGTTGTTGCGTGTGGGCTTTCTCTAGTTGCAGCAAGTGGGGTCTGCTCTTCGTTGTGGTGTGCGGGCTTCTCACTGTGGTGGCTTTTCTTGTTGCGGAGCACAGGCTTGAGGAGTGCAGGCTTGAGTAGTTGTGGTACACAGGCTCTAGTTGTGGTGCACTGGCTCAGTAGCTCCACGGCATATGGTATATTCCCAGACCAGGGCTCGAACCCGTGTCCCCTGCATTGGCAGACGGATTCTTAATCACTGCACCACCAGGGAAGTCCCTGAGTATATTTCTGACTGGCAAAGTAGGGTAAAGTTTAAAAGAGAATAACTTATTTGAATAAGTTAACAAAGTAGGAGTACAGATGTAGGGGCTTATTTTACTTTATTTTTTAAGTTGTCATACAGTAAAATAGACTTTTTTTTCTTTTGGTGTAGGGTTCTGTAAATTTTAGCCCTCTTAGAGATTTGTGTAAGCACCACCATAATCAGGATACAGAACAGAAGATGTAGGTTTTAGTGGGAAAAGTGCTTTTCGTTTTTTTCCCAAAAGTGCCCTGCTTTTAATTGCTATTGATACAATGTTTGTTTCCGTAGAATCCAAAATCCTTCTCTAAAGATATCTTGTGCATAGTAGTTAGAGTATTTGTCCGTCAGGGTTGGGAGGTCTGGTCTTATAAGTTACACATATCCTAGTGCCGTTGGAAATGGAGATAAAAGACAAAACGGTGTTTTAACCTGGTTTCCTTAGTCAATAGGTAAACATATTGACAATTGCTTAGCATATTAATTTTTGCCAATTCTTTCTACAGATGAATCTGCTCCTCAGTCATCCCCAGTTGGTCGATGGCGATTTTGTATCAATCAGACAATAAGAAACCGTGAGGCTCAATCTCCTTCTCTTCAGCAGTCCATGTCTACAGTTCCTGGGCTAAATCTGCTTTCTAGTAAGTGTTTGTTCTCTGCCACCTTTATCCAGACCTGGAAGATGGGGATGCAAAATATACACTGTATCTTTAACTTGTTTTCATGGGTATTTTATGCTTATGAGAATTTTCATAAGCATTTTTGAAGATGTTAATGTTAGGAGGTAACTTAAGCCATTTAAATTTTAATATTTATGGAAAAAAAAGGAAAAGGTTTTTCTCCTTGTTAGGTTGAATTCTGTGTATTTTGAGTCTTATTTACAAGAGTACTTTCACACAGGTTTTAATTTACCCCTTGCTCCTCCTGTTCCTTTTGAGTTTGGGTACTAGTCCATGCTTTGTACTTACCATTACATGCTTAGCCATTCTTTGTTATCGTTCCAGGTCCAAGAAACATAAGTAATAAGGAAATATCACAGGACACGCTGCTCACTCTAGAAAATAATCCATGCCAGCGTGCACTTTACACCTCCACATCAGAACACAAGGATGTAGTTGATGGTAAGATTTCTGAATATGCCAGGGTAGAAACTAAGCAGCCAGCTATACTTTATCAAGTGGAAGATGACAAGCAGATAATGGCACCAGTTGCTAGTAGTTCCAGTCTTATGGCTACTTCAGTTCGTGCAGTACCACTTGAATGTGAGGGACTCACCAGCCAAGCAGGCATATTCCTACCTGTGTATCCAGGTCACCAAGCTGCCAGTCAGGCAGCTCCTAGTGAGTCAACTCAGATTGCTCCTAACTCTCTTACAACTCCGGCATTTATGTCTGATCAAAAGCCTAAGTCCTTACCAGTACAGCAGCCAACTACAGATGCAGAGTTTATTTCCCAAGAAGGAGAAACCGCAGTGATCGTGGAAGCAAGTTCTCCTAAGATGGTCATTCCCACTCAGACCTCTGGCCTTGAACCAACTAGCCTGCTGTCCTCTACGGTCCTGGAATCAGATGGGGAAGGACCTCCAAAAATGGAGTTTGCAGACAACCGAATTAAAACTCTGGATGAAAAATTAAGAAATTTGCTCTATCAGGAGCATAGCATATCTAGCATCTATCCTGAGAGTCAGAAGGATACCCAAAGCATAGAGTCTCCATTTTCTTCCTCTGCTGAAGACACAGTCTCATGTCCAGTGCCAGAAGTCATAGGCATCAGTCACTGTGGAATTCAAGATAGTCCTGCACAGTCCCCTAATTTTCAGCAGACATGCTCTAAGATTCTGTCCAGTGTGACTGTGAGTCAGCCTGCTAACATATCAGTGTTCAAAAGGGACCTGAATGTGATAACTTCTATACCCAGCGAATTATGTTTACATGTAAGTATCATTCTTTCTAACCAATTCCTTATCCTATGCTTTTAAAGAAATGCCTTCTTTTCTAAAGTTCTGTCCTCTGAAATGAAATTATCTATGTCACAAGATTCTGAGGTCACAGGTATTTAAGAAGGCCATAGCTTAGGCTGCAGGGGCCCAGAACTTAAGAGACGGTAGAACTTGCTTGGTGAGAGAGCCCTCTGGTGAATTAGCTAGGAACTTGGGAGCAATGTTGATTTTTTGTATTAATGACAGAACAGGACTGATTTATAGATTGTTTTAGTGGGTAGGAAGAACTTGCTTTTAGATTTCCACTTAAAAATGCCTGTTATCAGTTTCATTTTTAAAAATATTATGGTTTTAATTTAATCTTGTTTGTGGGTTTTTATTTATTTGAAAAAAATATTTTAAAAGAAAAAAACCCCATAATCTCATGACTTGCTTTTTTTAACGTATGTAATGTAGGAATTTAATTTCTCTTTTCTGTTCCTTCGACTCATAGGGATAACCACTATCTGGTGCTTATCCACTATATGGTACTAATCCTCCTTGACTTAAGCTTATACAGATCTACTTACAAACCTACAACTTCTTACTCACAAAAATAGTATTGTGCTATAAACATATTGGTCTACAATTTAATTTTTTAATTTTACAGTATATCATAGACATATTTTAAAATATTTATCACTGTGTCTCTTTATTATTGTTATTATTATATAAGTAGTATATGCATGTATATAAAGTAAAATCCACCCCACTTCTTTTTTTTTTTTTTTTTTTAACATCTTTATTGGGGTATAATTGCTTTACAATGGTGTGTTAGTTTCTGCTTTATAACAGAGTGAGTCAGTTATACATATATATATGTTCCCATATCTCTTCCCT